TGATTGTACAAAGTTCCTCTGGCAGAGTACAAATAGACTACCCTTAAAGCATTCAACATCAAAGACTCTTAAACAAAAGCACAGTGTAGCTACACCAGGGAAGTCAGTTGACTCAACCACAACTAAAGATTTGGCCCCTGCTGTCATCCCTGAAACCCTCAGCTTCAACAAAAGCCTATTAAACAGAGCTGAACAATCATTAGCCTGGGGGCATCTGGTGTCCTACATGTTATAGATGTGTTTCTGTTCCAACACAACTGATTTAAATATATTTTAAACCAATTATGTGGATGATTAAATGAATCATAAATTCATTTAAATGCTGGAAATACCCACCTTTGTTAAAAGTTACTCCAAGTAGACTTTTGTTAATGGTTTATGATGGATTAACTTACTAAGGACATTTTAAGTCATGTTTACTACTACAGTATCACATCCTTGACTGAATCAATCAATCAAAAGCCTGACCCTAACAAGGCACAGAATATCAACATAACGTCATCATTCAGATAGGATACTGACTGAATTTCTAAAAGAGGCAGAGCTAGAAAGGCTTTGAAAAACAATTAAAGGTTGATCATGATTTATTTATGTTTTACACTTTAAGTAATTGTAGGATTTATAGCTGTTAAATACATTTTGGCTTAACCCTTTTGTCTAGAAATGGGGTCCAACCGACCCCACACACGTAAAACTTGTATCATTTGCCACAGTCCTCTACGTTTGCCACCTCAGTCTTCGCACGCACAAGGGATAAGTACCTTTAGAGACCCAAAACTATGCCTACGTGCAGACAGGAGCAATAAGCATCTAAATCAAATAACTGCATAATTTTATATAATCCAAGTCAGTTTTCCCCTCTTGTTTGAGTTAACTAAAAGAACAGCCTCTCACAAAGAAGACAAAAAAGTAGCTGTTGATACCTGGCGAAAATCTGCATAAGAATAAGACTTCATCTAAATGAGGAAATAAAAACAAAAAGTCTTTACCTCTGAAGTAATTCAAGTGTGGGCGCTACAGGAATGGGATAATGGATATTGAAACAGTAATAGCTTCCTAACATCATACATATAGTGATGGAGGTGATGGTTGGGATTCAGCCATTGACAACCTTGCAGTCTATGCTAAGCATGAACCTGTTTGAGGCATAACAGGAGGTTCCTGCAAAAAAGGAATAATGTAGAGAACAATTAATAGTCCTTATTATTTAAAGTCTTATACAAACTTTAAACAGTGCATTTTATGTCAAATGTCTTTCTTAAATTCATTCACTGAAAATTAATATTTACTTACCACATACAATGTTGCAAGAGTCTCCTCTTTTTCATTGAAGTGAGAAAGAAGAAGAACCATATCTTTCAATTTTTCTGAGCAGCCTTGCTCCTGTTCTCTCTGAATGTTCAGTTTTTATAACAGTTTGAAGAACCGTTTGGACTTGTGTGCAGAGATGGTTCTTAAAAAGTCCATAAGTCGTTTTCCCTTGTTTTCAAAAGTGGTAAAAAAAAGTCTCTATTAGAGCTACTCTGGTAAGTCACCGCTCCTTTTACCATGGTTTGCAAATCTGTTCCTTGGTTTATGTCTTTTCTTTGGGAGTAGTATGTACACTTCGTAAGATTTTTATTTTTACCTCATCTGATCTTCACCGAGTATCTTTGTTTGGAGTTTCTTCTCCTCTTTAGTTTCTGTTGTCTTAATTACTGCTATGAAATTCATGTCCTACTTTAAACAGCCTGAACAGCTGCATTTTGTTCAAGTGGGACTGTGTCATCTTCATCAGACACCTTTTTCCGCTGCCTTATTTTTGGTGCTGGTGACTGTTTCACATTTTCAATTCGAGTTTGTAACTGATTGACCAGTGAGTAATAATCTGGCCCCACCACATCACCTTCTCTTACAGTGATTGTGGATATTTGGCAATCATTTTTTGGCCACTTCTGCGGAGGCTTACTTACCAGACCTCCATCATGTTCCATAGGTTCTGTTATCTTTCACATATCAGGTTTGATTTCTTGTTTGCACAATAGTTAGTTCTCCAGCTCAATGTATGATAGGTATTTGTACTTCCTGTTAGTTTAGCTCATGTTTTTCACTTGTTTCCTGATCATGTACTCCCCTCACCCGTCTTGCATAATATTTAAGTTCGAGTATTGCCTTTGTCTGGTGAGGGATTCTTGTGCGTATAGTGTGTTATTTGGTGATCGCTCATGTCTTGTCAAGTTAAGTCAAGTCGAGTCTCTAGGTTTAAATAAATCTACGGTATGCCATGCCTGTCATAATGTTTTGTGTGGGGTTTTTGTGTTTTATTTTGTGTTACCTGTCTAGTATGGGTTTATTTCTAGGTTCCAAGCGTTTGTCATTTGTGTACTGCCAATTTTCCTTTGTTGATTTTCCTTTGTTCCTCGTTGTCCACTAATTAGTGATTTGCTACACCCGTTTTTGAGTTATTTAGGATTGACGAGTTGCAGGTTTTGTGCAGCAGTCTCGTCTGGGCTTGGTCTGAGTTTGCGTCTGTGTGTTTTTTATGGGTGCTCTGCTTAAGTCTGACTTTATTGCATCAGTGTCATCCGGTGAGTCTGTCTTGTAATACTTGACAAAATGAAGATTAAAAACAAGATGATGAAAAGGAGAAAGCCTCTTGGTTCCTGTCAGCAACAACCAACACAATTCCTGACAGAAGACTGCCGTCAAGACAGGAACCAGAGTCCTGGGGTCAGGGACTCCAGAGCCGTTTCTCCCCCACGGATGGGTGAGGACGAGCTCTGAGAGTTTTTTTTTTTTTATGGTGATCGAGACGACTCTCTCCCGTGGGATCTTCATAAACAAATGTTAGCTTTGCCTTTGTTATGTAAATTTAATTTGTGCAAATCTAATAAAGTTGGATGAACACAGGTATGTGCAAAGTCTATTTAGCTACAAAAGTAAAGATTTACAAACGATATAATGTAAAGTAGACTGAAACTGGGGACTAGCTGAATGAAAGCCCCAAGGAGAGAACAAGTAAATGAAAGCTGAAGACATGAGATGACTCTTAAAAACATTTTCAATTTTACTTTGTTATATCAACTTGTTCACTAAAAATCCAAAAAGCTGTAACTCTGATACCAAGAATGGAAAAAAAAAAAAAAAAAACACAATGCAGGCGTTCTGAGAAATGGGAATGTTGTTGATGAAGTGACCTTCTAAGAGGTGATTTGTAACAAGAGTGAAATGTGACGTACAACAGACACTGAAAACACAAGTGCTGAAATGTTCTGGCTTTGTGGTGAGTGAAAAAAAACCTGCCTGTGACTGTCACTGCAAGTAATAATATCCTTCGTACTAACATTTTGAGAGTCTAACTCCCCTGCTGTGTTTTTCAAGTTGTTCCAGCATAGGGCACCTTTCAGATTTTAAATTACTTTCTCAACAACTCTGTGCCTCTGACTTTCTGCATAACATCTGAGGCACGTTGCTCAAGAACAGTGAAGGAATGTATGCATCAGCATTTACAGTTGAAACCAGAAGTTTTTATAAAAAGAAATTTTCTCACAATTTGAAGATATAAGTCCAAACTTCTCTCGTATTAGATAATTTAAATTTACCACAAATATTTTTATTTGCTAAATGCTTCAATAATGACATAAATGTCAGTGATTTACTTCAATGTCTTGAAAATCACATGACAGGCATTTCTCCAGTATTTGGTAGCATTGCCTTTCAAATGTAATAGTTGACTAAGTTTCTCACAATTGTTTGCCAAAGTTCTGGCTGCTTTTTCAGTCCCTCATCGCTGAGTGGCTTTCAGACCAGGTCAGTATCGGACATGCTTCACTGTGAATAGTGAAACTGTATTACTAGCATTAGCCAGCATCTTCACAAGGTCTTTGGGTTTTGCTCTGGGGTTAATTTGCCCATGTTGGACCAAAACACATTTAAGTCATTGTTTAACTTGTGTATGTGCATCTGTGGTTTCAACTCCATGAATTATATGGGGCAAAAAGATTAATATCTTTTGATTGCAGGTGATATATTTTTGTTGGTAAAACAACATTGTGAGGATGTGGGGTTTTGTGTGTTGATTAGTGCTATCATGTCTAGCCCCTGATTGGTCCCAGCTGTCTCTTGTTCCCCTGATTATCCCATGTATTAACCTCACCTGTGTCTCCTGCTCCCAGCTTGTCATAGTTAGCCTATGTCATGTCATAGTTTCTGCAATGGACCGGCGACCTGTCCAGGGTGAACCCCGCCTCTTGAACTTAATGTCTCACTGGAGATAGGCACCGGCACCCCTCGCGACCCCACTAGGGTCAAGGGTGTAAGAAAATGGATGGATGGATGGATGGATGGATGTCATAGTTTGTGTGATAATCCTGTCATTCCACATAAGAACTAATATCTCAGCCACCAACATCATCACTTTACAGCTATTTTGTTAAATCTTGGTGCAACATTTATTTTGAATTTACTTATATAACCATTATTTTACCTCAAAAACCCCTGGGATATGTCTTTTTCGAAAGACACCTGGCCAAGAGACACACTGGTGTATAGCACCGACAGAAGTGAGGTCTAGTCATCCAATATCTAGGGACACACTTTATGTCACAGCTGAACAAAGCTAAACTTTCTTGAATAATTAACTGTGAAAGCAGTTTAAGAATCTGACAGAGTGCAGAGGCTGAAACGTGGTGTTTTTAAAGACAATGAAGATGACTAAAGACACATAGCTGGTCTTGCAAACAAGAAAGCAAAGATTGTAATCAGGCAAAACAAGGAAGGGTTGAATTCTGCCATTACTTCAAGCAGTGGCAGAACTATTAAAACAAAACCCTATTAGTAAGGTGTTAGATCCCTTTTTGCCTTGAGACCTGACATAATTCCTCACAGCATGGATTCATGAAATTGTTGAAAATACGCTTCAGATGTTTTGTTTCATGTTGACATGATAGAATCCTGCAGCTGCGTCAAACTTTTGATTCTACATTCATGATGTGCATCCCCTGTTTCATCACTTTCTAAAGGTGCCCAGTTGGACTCCGGAGGCCGTTGCAGAACAGTGAATTCATTTATCTGTTCAGGAAACCAGCTTGAAATTATATGAACGTTGAGAAATGGCTCACTGTCCTGCCGGAAGCAGCCATCTGAAAATGGGTTCACTGTGGTCATAAAGGAATGGACATGGTCAACAACACCACTCAGGTAGGTAGAAGCATTTAAATTATACCCATTGTTGTTTATAAAGCTGACAGTGGTCTTACATCTGCTGTAAGATCCTTCAGCGATGGCAATCTGCATAATTTGTTTGTAACTAGTGGATGTTTGAGGAGTTGTTGACTTTCTAACTTCTCAAACCAATCTGCCCTATTTTGCGCATTAGCTTATTTGGAGTAGCAGCCCACTTGATACCATCATCCATGTCACTTCTAAAAGTTCCGATACTCAGTCTGAACTTCAGCAAGTCATCTTGACTACGTGTCATTGCATAAGTGCATGTAGTTGCTTCAATGTAACTGGCTGATTTGCAATTAGTATTGATGATTGAGCAGGTGAACCTGATAAAAAAGTGCCAATTTAGTGAATATGAGATGTGAGCATCAAGAGTGATGAGTCTATCTATGTTAATGCATTGTTCTTGAATTAATATGACTTACCAAATAATCCAAATTAAGTCTTTTGTCACAGCAATTTTGCATTTACTATGCGATTATCAATTCAATAGATGGTGCAGCTCTGTTTCACCACTTGGATTACATTCAGAAGTCAGCTGCGGCACAGGAAGAGGAAAGTTTTTCTTTAAATTATGGCTAAGCTGCCGTGGGATGAAGCTTCAAGCTGGATCTCAAATGCACAGATCAGTTGATGAGCCAAAGGCTACATGAGGACAAAACAAGCTATTCTGAGATTTTGCATAGAGCTTTGAAAATTGAAATCCTGTTCTGTGTGTGAGTTTACTGTGGTATGTTACAGTCAAACAATGCTCCCAAAGATTAGTATTTGCTTTGTCTTTGAAAAGAATACATATTTTTCTTTGTATTTTTACAGACGTAAGTACTGATGTTGTAGATGGAATGTGTTTAGTTTCTGTCCATTCTGCAAATAGATGCTTTTTCCTGCTTCCCGGGTTGCGGTGAGGTGATTTTAAACAAGGTTTATTAAAAGTGAGAGGTTTTGTATTCATTTTACAAGCATGTCTTTTTGTATTTTTTTTCTGTATTTGTCTTTTTAATTGTTTCCTGTTTTGGGAAATTATTAAGTACAAGGACAGATTACTAAACAACTCAGAGCTCTCAGTCAGGATGTTTAATTCTGTTAAAGTTGTACAGATAAACAGAAAGGGCACCAGAGTCCCTTTACCTTGAGAAAGACAGAAAGAATAAAGGAAGTTTTTAACTACTTAAAACAAACATAAAATTAGCAGCATTCTAAATTTTTTATTAGCATGACATACTTAAATAATCTCTGAGGGAAAATGTTAACTTCTCCATTTAATTGATAAAGAAGAGTGGGCCAATGCAAAGTCAGAAGCATAGTAAAGAGAAAAGAGGCAACGGCTGTGCTGATACATTGACATGCAGTATCAGCAGTGCATTCTGAAACAACGGGGTCATTTATTTGCTAACAGATTTTAAAGTTCAGTTTCCATGCTGCGCCATCTAGAATCAATTCCTTTCAGGTATTACGAGTTGTACTCTATAATAAATCGCTCTTTATTTGAATACATTTTTTTATGATACAATGACCTTTAGAGGGATTTTCATACAAACTCTTTCTTGGTTATTCATGACATGCATTAGCAGAGACGGGTGAATGACACCCATGACTCTTCACACTGTGATGACGCCCCGCAGACCAGGTCCCCTGTAGTTCACTCTAACATTCATTTGTGCCCCATTTTCCCCCTGTCTGTCTGTCTGTCTGTCTGTCTGTCTGTCTTCCTGCTGGTCACTGTCTGTGTTCCCGAGACTAGACTGAAGGATGACTTCAAAGCTTCTCAGTTTTGACCCCTGAACACGACCTCTGGAATATGGTATAATCCTGTCCTACTTATTGACAAATCCTATTTTTATTGGAAAGAAGAGGATCAGAATGGAAGTACTCCATGACCTTTAGATAGGACGTGACCTACAATCTTTTCATGACTCGCAGGCCAAATTAAAACTGTGCAAAAAGCGATCACGTCAGAGAATGCAAATCCATCCATAATATTATGTTCTCTAAAAATGTAAAGAAAACTGATCATACATGTGTCTGTAACTGCAGTGATTAGTTCAATGAATAATTTAGTTAGGTAAATTTCTGTTCAAAATTATGTCCAGAATGCGTCACTTGATCTTACAGGAGTGTAGCTTGAATTTTTTTTTTTTACTGCATTTCTGTTGAAATTTTGACAGCAGGTAATATTTTACCTTCATTGGGTGATTCTCTTGCTCTCTTCATTTAGCATAAAGCCTTAATATTTGTTTTAAGGAAGTGTTTCACACAAGAAAATCAATGTTGATTCTCCTGCCTCCATTTAACATGAAAATAATCATCAGTTCTGGGTAAATAAATCTCCCAATGCAAACCTGACAACACTGTAATGGCTCATAAAATAACTTGAAGATGGTAGAAAGATGCTATGGTCCTTTCCCCGTATGGACTAGTTATTAGCTTTAGCTTTCAGGAATCACTAATCTGGATTCATACAAAATGAAGATTGGTAGAAAGTTACCTGCTGCAGATAGATTAGTAACTGTTCATAGCTTGTTCGTTTTTCTTCTTTCAGCTAATAATGTATGCAGCTGCTCAGCGTCATAATCAAAAATCACAGTGGGGTCACACCAGTCATGGTTTATGATGATTACAGGCCAAATTTAGGTGATTACATTTAAATCTGTGAGGTTAACACAAAATTATCTTTAAAACTATAATTTAGCTATGATTCTACCTCACTAGGTCAGGCTTTTTGATAACTTCATATTTGCAAATTTTGCCTTTGTGAACTTTTGTGCAGGAACTGTTGCACCTTTTGCCAGAAGACAGGTTCGGTTCTACGTGTGCCGTAGTTGCAGATGACCTGCTTGACTGTCCTCTGATCATACCGAGAAGACAAAAGTTATGAATAAATATGTTTTCATAGATCAGTGGTTAAAAATGGTTAAAGGTCTAAATGCTTTGTAATATAAATGGAAATTACAACTCATATCTTTCCTTCAGGCAACACATATACACTCCTCAAATATGCATCTGCTCACTTAACGGCTTCTACAATATGCTGACTGCAAATTGAGAGATTGCTTCTGAAGAATAATGATGATGAAAATTGCATAAAAGCAGGCACACAGTGATAAATTAGGATTTTAAATTGAAGATGACATATGACAGCTGAATGAAAAATGACTGCAATGAATGATCTGCATTTAGTCACAGAGGCATTAGTATTTTAATAGAACTTCTGAACAGCAGTAGTGAATAGCAAACATAGTGATATCTAAATCAATAAATCAAGATAAGTTTCATTTTAATAAAAAAAAAGGTGTGTAAATTGAAAAAACTTTCATTTATTGTCATTGAACTGAAGCAGAACAATGTGATTTGGAGTTTCATTCTGAATTTTCCTGTGCTGCTTCAGTCAGTAAAGGCTTTCATTTCATGTCATTTTTCACTCATGTTTTGGTCATTTCTTGATCACCTCAGCAACTGATAGGAAGTCAGGTGAAAAAAAAAATCATAATGTACAATGATTTATGAACTACCTAAGCAAAGATTGAATACACTTATCCAGTCCTTGCCTAGGTTCGACATTTCAAAACTTTCTTTGAGAGATCACACTTTAACAAAACTTAACAATGAAAATCAAAATTACATCGGAAGTGAATCAAGGAGTGTGCACAGTCATGCTAAACACAGAGTGTTAGGTTTAGAGACTTGGTATCAGAGAAAGTTTCAGAGACTGTAATCTTTAAAATCTAGGAGTGAGAAACTTCAGAGAATCAATCTTTGTTTTAGATACACAACTGTCAATTGTGCTGAGGCATCTCTCACAAAGATATAGTGGGGAACAGAAGTGCAAGCTGGTCATGCACTGTTAACATCTTTCTCAGATAATTGATCAGTTAAGAACTGTCAGCATTTTCTACCATGCTGACAGATCCAGGTGCAAGTTAAACCAGCATGGTGATGATAAGAATCCCAAACTGAACCTGAAGCTACTTCTATCAGCCACCATTTCTGTTTTGAAGCTCAGATCCCAGTTCTTTAGTTGACTATCACCCATGTTTGTGTAAGCATGTAGTTAAAAACAAACCTTAATCTTTAACTATTAACAGATTTGAGCTGCCAAATTGAAGTTGACAGCGATTATAACTGAGTTTTGCAGAAATAAAACCAGGTGCTCCTTCGATAACAGTTTCTTCTCTTATCCATACTTTTACTTTTCCAATATATCTATGAAGATCTTGTCATCCTTAGAGATTTATATAGTTGATAAAAACCCTGTACTTGTGAAAAAAGATCTGTAGCTGAGATGATAACTCTTAACAGGGAAAATAAACTCACTTTCTAACATTCACATAACATTGAAGATACTTGTTTGCAGAGCGACTTTTCTGTCATGACCATGATGTCAAGGAGACTGTTTCGCTCATTAGCTACATTTTGTAAAGAACTTGAGTTGAGATTCTTCTTTGAGCGCTTTGAGCTTAAAGTACATCATCTAATTATGACACAGTTTAATGAACAAACCATGCTGTGAAGATGATTCTTGTGAAGAAACAGAATGCAGCTCAGACATTGTTTTACTCAGCCTGGCTGTTTTTACCAACTTGCCAACTGCTATGTTTGAACTTGGGATCTGTAAATTGAAAAGTGGGTGTAAACTCATACCCAGGGGGTCTTGAAATATTGCTGTTTTCCAAATGTATTCAGTGGGAAAATCACCCTTGTTTTTGATTTCCACAATGGCTTTGCTGTCTTTAGGGTGTTCACACTCATCTGTGTGCACTGGTTGGATGCTTTCAGTTCAGCTTTATTGTTCCTCTGTCCCATTTTCCTTGCGGGTAATCTTCATCATTCTGCCTTCAATTCTATGCTTCTGACAGTTTCAGTTATGGGATTTGTCTCATCCCTCACTAGTCTTCTTCTATTTGTTACAGCCTCAAATGATTTTTACAACATCCCTATCTCCTTCAACTTCTCTCTGCAATATTGCCCCTTGCCCTAGGTTCCATTCATATGACAGCAAGGCTTAAGTTGTCACTGGTGTCCTCTCCGATGATTACCCTCAATTCCACAGTTCAGCACCGGGCTGACAGGCACTTTATGACTTTCAGCCTCTCTTTGTGCCACTTTTCCCCTCTTGAACAAATCAGCATGAGCCTGGGTTCTTTGCTTCTCTTGAGCCCTGCCTCACTGCTCCACCTCACTTATTCAAAATGTCTCTCTCTAGACTTCATCCTCTCAAACTGTTAATCCAGTCATGCCCTTTGCACCGCTGACACTGCAGAGGGAAGTAGAGGGTGCGTGAGGGGATGTGGTCAACAGTCACACAAGATGGCAGATAAATTATTTAAAGTCGTAGTTTCCAATTGTTTTCTGTATCAAACTAGCAAAGTGAGAGCAGAAGAGTACATGCATTACTGTCAGTTAAGGAGTAAATAAAAGCACGTACACATCTCTGCTTATATGGTGTTGGTAGTCATCCGTCCCTTTTCCACGCTGACAAAATCCTTACAGGGTCATGGGCAGGCTGGTCTCTATCTACGGCACAGAGGTAGAGACCTTTGATGGACATCAGTGGAAAGATTATGGCAGGAGAAAACTTAGACAAGCAACTATGCACACAAATTCATTCCTTAGGGCAATGTAGAGACCAATTACCCTAACATTCACGTTATTGGACAGAGGGAGGAAGCCAGAGTATCCAAAGGGAATCCATGCATGCAAGCTCAATGCAGAAAAGCCCCCCAGCTTAAATGTGACTAATCTGATTATTTGTTTTTAATGAGTTGACAGCACTAGTTGAATATAAAGACCAGGATGGGGCTGTAAATATTAGTTTTCTGGTTTGGGACCCTGAAAATCTGTGATGATCATATATGGCATTGGCAATGAAACAAGTCCTGTAAATGACAGTATATCAATGTATTTTTCAGTCCAACAGTGATGAGGCAGTAAAGAATATCATCTTATGTATGTATGTATGTATGTATGTATGTATGTATGTATGTATGTATGTATGTACATAAAAGGAACAATATTTATTTTGTATTACAAAAAAAACTGTTACAAATTCTGCACAGCACTTAAAAGAATAAAAAATAAAAGGCTGGGTGAATTATAATCACAATATTTACCAGATATTACAGAAATGCATGTGCATAGTTATTATTGTTACCCTTTGTTTCAACAAGATTCTAATTTATATTTTATGGGTGTTTCCTGTGTTGCAGCTTTTACTATATTTCTTGATATGACTCAAAAATATTGTGGATTTGTTAGTACCTTTGCCAGAACTTGGTGACTGGAAGTATAATTGTTTATGAATAATTTTAAAGTAACTTGCATGCTGGTATTCCTGCATATAAACTTTTAAGTATTTACTCAACTGCCAACTTTTCACATGTAATTTTGCCTGCTGTCAATATAGTACACAGTAAAATTCATGAGGCAAATTTTCTACATGCTGATAAAGTTCCCACATGCTTTTGGATGCTGTTCATTTTATTACTAAATAAGTGATGTCAATGTCCACATCTGAAACTCGTCTCTCTGTAGTCATGTGTTGGTGAACTCCATTCTGGTCTTCGTAAAGCCCCATCACGTCCCATCTGTTTTCTTTAGAGTCACCAGACCTGGCATCAGAGGAAACACATTAAAAACCTAAAAGGCAGTTGTACGATAACATCACAAGATGCTTTTCTTGTGAGATATTTGAAGAGTGGTGCCAGGATGGCCCAGAGTCTTACAGAGTCTCACAGTCAGCTGTAGTTCAGAGGAAAACAGATGCAGTCATGACGATAAAGCCCCAAACAGGATACACGCCGTATTGGTTTCCTTTTACATAAACCCATTTGTGTCTGTGTCAGAGCTACGTAGAGACCACATAAAGTCATAATTGAAGATCCACACTAACTCTTGTCGTGTTTGAAGCTTAGACACACTCTGTGTGGAGATTCCGATTTATCCAAAAGCTGCTCCTGTTTAACCCCCAGGTGATTTAATGTGTCTCTTTTCCTTTAATATGTAAATACAGGTAAAAATCTTTGGATAAATAGAAATGCTATGAATACATTTTCTCCCTCCAAAGGAAAAAAAAAATAGAAAGATTGCCTCAACACCTTGTCTTGTTCACAACGAATTCCGTATTAGCAGTGGGTCATGCAGCAGGTCATGCTGGGTATGCAAATCCCTCACAGGTTTCTGAGCCGACACTGATGTTGAAGTGAAGGATGGCATTTCATTTCGTCTCCCGTTTCTTTCTTAGTTTGGTGGGACAATGACTTGTCAAGATGATAAAAACAGAATAGGTCTGAGAAGTGTCCAATGTTAAGTATAACCAAGTGAGATATGTCACGACAAGATTTATCTATTGGTGTGTGACTGTAAACTATGTAAACACTTTAAAGATTGTCATCCTCTCTTTAAGTATGAAGTCTGCCAGTTCCATATCCTGTAGGACAACCCACACCATATTCCAACCTGCAAACTTTGCTAGTGCCACAGTGCTTTAGGGATGATGTGCAGAACATTTCTTCCTCCAATCATGGCGTTTGCAAGAAGTTTATCTTTGGACTCATTTGACGAGACTTTATTCTCGCAGTATTTCACTGGCTTATCCAACTACCCTGCAGAAAATTTTGTACAAGCTTCAATAGACTTTTTCTACAACATTTACTTTTGAGTGTGCATTGAGGCCATTATGGTTGAGTGCATTGCTGACTATTTTCAAGGGGAAAGGTGCAACTGCTGTGTCCAGGTTTTTCTGAAGCTGCCTAAAATTTGCTTCTTGGCTTTTGAACAAATTATTTTGATGTTACTTTTGACTTTTATCAAAAATCTTGCAAAAGGTTTCTTGTTGGGTTGGGAAGTTTAGAAATATATCTACAACCAATGTCATTACTATGTTTTGCAACAGTCAGATATTTTATGATGGCTTTTTTCCCTTTATGCACTCTACTTGGGTATGGAGAAGTTAATACTAAATTAGCTTATATTGTTTAGCACGTAGCAGCACGAATGACAGAATTTAGTATTTTAGTCATGTTTGGATTTATTTGTATTTTTAGATTACTTGGATTGTCATTGACATCTGGTGTTATTTTTTTATATTGATATAGAAATTGGAAATATATTTACTTAGAAACATTTTGATGCATTCAAACCTTTTTTTTTTTTTTTACCAGCTGTATGTCAGTTGTGGCAAACAAATCGGCTTAGTTTTCAGAACCTCTTGAACTTAATACTGTTGTAGATTTTTACTTACTGTAATTTCTTCTATTCTGTTTCTTATTTCTTTCGCTCAAGATGGGAAATGCCTCCGAAATTTTTCTGTTCATGTCCAGAATATCAAAAGACAATGACTTCGTCATGGGAACACTCTACACCATATTTGGTAACTCGATTAGACTCCTCACCTTTTAGTAAACATAATGAAGGTCAAAATGCTACTTTCCCTCTTATTTTACCTCTCTGTCTTCCAGGTGTGTTGTCCGTACTGGGGAATGGGATCCTGCTCTTTGTGGCCTTTAGAAAGAAATCGTCTCTGAAGCCGGCAGAGTTCTTTGTCGTCAATCTGGCCATCAGTGACTTGACCATGACTATAACTCTGTTTCCACTGGCCATTCCTTCAGCCTATGCTCACATGTGAGTGACCTTTGAGGTGCAAACCAATGAGATTTTTTTCAGTACATTAAATCAGGCTGGTGTTAAGAAATGAGCATGTACTTATAAAAATGAATGTTATGTTATTTTGGATTCATAATGATGCAGTTTGGGGTGATTTGATCAAATGTCAATGATTTTTTTTAAATATATTTTAAATGAATAATTGAGTGCACCAATTTAAACTTACCAACAACATTTATCACTAACAACATTTCTACGTAGTTATCATCAGTCTTCTGGATTAATTATTGCTCAGAAACAGTATTTGTTTAAATATATCAGCTTCCTAGAGCCGACCAAGCTTTTTAGAAGAGTATACACATTTCAATAGGATTGAGCTCTGGGATTCGGGAACCCTATTTTGTTTCATTCATTTCAAAAGCAGTGATTAGAAACAATGAAGAACAAAGTAAAACGACGAGCTAAAATACAGAGGAAGTGGTGAACGTGAATAACCACACAGAAGAGCTCTCCATCCATTATCTTTATGCGCTTATCCCTGCTGGGTCTCAGGGGGGAGGGCTGGTGCCTATCTCCATCGGTCATTGGGCGGGAATACCCTGGACAGGTTCCACACTCCAGAATAACTAATTACTGTAGAGGCAAAAGGGAAAAAAAGTTGAAGAAGAGTGCAGGCGGTGAGAGCCAGGTGACAAGGAAGAATTGCCAGCTGAAGGAAGGTTGTTTTAAAACAGAGAACTTGAACTGGGAGTTAAAATCATGGGAAAATACAATTTTTTGTCAGAGAACAAAATTCAAAGCAAAAAGCGAAAATAAACAAACTTATGCAAAGAAATGAACTAATAAGGCAGGATTAAAAGAAGTAAACAAACGATCAAAACAGAATCCAAATGATAAAACAACTCCAACACCAATGAGCCATCACTATTTGACCCTTAGCATCTATCCATCTTTCCGTCTATTCATGTACATATTAATCCATTGTCAGAGTTGGTGGTTTTAGACATTTTCCATGTGTGATTATCACAATTCAAACAGCCTGATTCCAGTTTAGAGGTCGATTTTTTTTTTTCCTCTTGCATCCATAGGTATCAATAGAACTATCTTAATTTCATAAACTGCAGAAAAAAATTGTAGATTTGAACTTTTTCAGCAGATGGAAATCTTCATTGGTATTAACCAGTACTGGAAAGTAATTCAATTTTTATGTTCAGTGAAAGACATCGTTTTGCAAATTGATCAAATGAAATTAATTTGCCATCATTTTTATTGCAGTTGTAATTCAACAGTAAAACCAAAACTAGCTGCCAAGGTGCTCCAAGAGCCTTCTAAGTGTTTGAAACGGCCAGCCACAAGACCTGTTTGATATAATGGCACCAACTTATAGATTCACAACACAGTTGTGTTGAGCATAAAAAAATAAATAAATAAATAAAAATGTCACAAGAATTGCAATTTTTGTTATCCATATATTTCCCACTTCAGCCGGTTGACCTTCTCCAATATCTTCGTCTGATCTTCTGAGGATCTATGGATGTAAGGTGTCAAAGCGACCAGCGTTGAGTCAACGTGTGTCACTGTCTGCCAGGAGTGTGACCAGACAGCGACACACATGACCAGTAGAAAGGCATTAAATTTATTGCCTCCCTCTTGTCTGTAAATGTTTCCAGAGAGAGTTTGCATATAAATATTTGTTTAGCCAAGATGTTACTCAGTGACATGTGCTCTTTTCTGCTTTTCTTTCTTTTCAGGTGGTTATTTAACCTGACAACCTGCACTGTCTATGCCTTTTGTGGTGTTTTGTTTGGCCTGTGCAGTCTGTCCAATCTCACGGTGCTCTCATGTGTTTGTTGGCTCAAGGTCTGCTGTCCAAACTACGGTAACCAAAGCATTTTTTTATACCGTTTACTATTCCATGCAAAACCAACCATAATCACAGAAACACAATATAAAGCGTGATCACCAGTATGCTTTAAAGATGGAAATGATCGAATAGAACAAATAAAATTAACAGACATCAGAAGTTTTGATTATAATTTTGGGCAAAAAAGTTTGTAATGAAAATAATAAGAATTATTTTGCATTTTGAGTGAAACTTTGCTTATCCTTATCATCTGGTAAATGTTGCTGCAAGAGGACAAGGTAATAAAACAACACAAATGACGTCATTAGATAAGTGTTTGTCTTCTGTTTTAAGTCTGAAGTGCCAAGAAGTCCATGGACAGCTCAGCTCATCTGCTTTGTTGGGTGTTCTGTCTTTAATCTTTCTCTTGACAATACTTAGACTTTACAGTCTCTGTTTAGGGTTTAGGTGAGGCGTTTCGAGCACACAATTTTACCGATTTTGTTTCCAGTCAGCTTTCCATTAATTTGGTGAGATGGAGCACTCTGTGAACGGCTTCGTTTTCAATGCTCTTTGTGGCTTTTCCTCCTGTTGCAGGATGTCGACGACTGCAAGACAGCTGCCAAGTCAGCAGTTTCCCCTATTGTGTGGCCCATAGAATTTCAATATTAAACATTATTTTTATTAGTTGCATATATTGGTTTGTTTCACAAGAGATAATCATTAATATGTGCATTACAAGCCTATGCGAGTTTCATTTCAACAAAAATATTTTGAGTAAAATAAGTTAACTTATTGACAAAATCATGTTTTATTATTAGATATTCAGTTTTTTTTTTTTTTTTTTTTTTTTTTATGAAACTATTAAAAAGGAGAAAAAGGAAAAAATATTAATGGAG